CAAGTAGCTGTTTAGAGGAAAACAAAATGTATTTAGCATTAAAATCAACGAACAGAGGAAATTCTTCAGTTCTTAAATACTTCAGATAATTTAAAAGAATGGAGGCTTTAGATGGAAAATATAGTGCTGATAAAAATATATTCGCTTGATCTATTTCAAGTCTAATCAAAAGAAAATTGTCAGGTTTATCAATTACTTTAGACTTTAACAAGTTATGAATTAAAAAGACAACACTTCCAAATCTGTTTGTACCCTTTTGACTATGTCAACAATAGTGATGAATACATGGGAGTTTATTAATTAGTGAACTTATTCCAGTCAATATTACTATCTTTGGAGTGTATGTATTTAAGACCTGGTCAATATCTGACAAATGTGTACTTATATACTCTCACTGATTCTTGAATTACTTGTCTTTAACAAAAGTTTTGTTGAGTTTGTACATAGTGAAGTTGACGAACAGTTTTGAAGATGTCTCTCAAGAATTTATTTTGATTTTCGAACTATCAGCTTATTGCTTCTAGCTGCACATCTTTCGAAGAGTGAGTCGAGTAACTCTGGATACTTTCATAATGATTATAGATATTCCAATTGAAAATAGAACATGTTGTTTATCGATTCACTATCGATTTAATCGAAGTTTTCAAGAATTGTGCTATTTTGATTGTTTTCGTTGAATCAAAAATCTGAATCTACAAAAATCAGTTTCAATGTTATAGTGAAACAAAGATGTAATTTTAGAATGATGAATGAAAGAAAGAGAAACCATTCAAGCATCAACATTCTTAATTGAATTCTATCTCGATTTAATGATACGAGGAATATTCAATTTTCAGCCATCGTCAAAACGAGATCATTCATTCGAACTTCATTCATACGATGTGATAGTTGAATGAACGATTGAAAGTGCCGTTCGAAAGGCAAGATCTAAAGTCAAAATTCAGTCGATACAATGTCATTTTTACATTAGAATTGTCGCGTTGTCAATGTTTGTAATTTGTGTATTGTTTTCTGTAAGACCGAAATTGAACACCTATTCAATGTTGTGCTAGAGTAAGACTATATGGAACAGCTAAAAAAGAACATGTTCTTTTTGAATGGCACTGTTTCATTTAACTTTTAAAATAGTTTGATCGGAAACAAGAACGAACATTATTATAAACAAAGAATTCTACTTTTTAAAACTCTATCACTCTCGCCCATTACATACATCATTCAAACAATGAAAATTTCACATCGTTTTTCGAGCAGGAGATTCTTTTGGTTGTAAAGCATTTCTGTAATAAAGTGTTCACAATTGCTTAAACACTCGTTATTCTGTTGCACATCGAAGTGTTAGCATGATGTCATCGTTGTTGGAATCATCAAAACTTGAAATACACAGATCGAATCTTCGAATAGAATCATCATAAACAGTATGTCAATGACATTGAATGTAGAAAATTCTTCCGTTCGAAATCTCACATCGCAAAAACGTCTTTTTTAAATGTGAAAGTTCTTCAAAGAAAAGCGAATGAGCTAAATTTCGAGAAACTAGATAATTTGTTGTTTCATCGAAATGAATTCGATTATACTATTCACTGAAGAAAAAATTGCTACGACACCGAATCCAAAAGGGTGTTTTGGACTAAAAAAAAGGTTTCGTACATAGTACGGAACCTAAAAGGGTTTCGATTTCGTTTCAATTCTCTGAATCCTTATAGGTTTCGTAGATAGAACTACGAAACACTTGAAAAAATATTCTAAGTCTATGACGATTATTTTCAGGCAACCGAAGTTTTTATGAAATCTTTTGAGGGTTCCGTATTTATTTCGAAAATGGTTCGATGCACTAGAAAAAAATTAGTATGATTACCAAACCCTTTTTAAAATGAATACAGAACCTTCAATAAGGTTTCGTAAAAACTTTGGTTGCCTGAAAATAATCGTCATAGACTTAGGATACTTTTTCAAGTGTTTCGTAGTTCTATCTACGAAATCTAAAAGGGTTCAGAGAATTGAAACGAAATCGAAACCCTTTTAGGTTCCGTACTATGTGCGAAACCTTTTTTTAGTCCAAAAAACCCTTTTAGGTTCGGTATTGTGCCTATTTTTTTTCAGTGTTGATTGTTCTCGGAAAAAAATTATATTGTATCAAGATCTATTCTAAACAGATCTTGTGCATTTGAATTCATATTGAATATTTGTACTCGATGATTTCCATAATCGACGACATAGAGATTGCCGTGTCGATCGAATGACAAACCGAAGGGCTGATTGAGTTGGTTCGATTGTTCTCCTCTACCATTTCCATCAACAATGACACTTCCCTGTGTGGCTCCTTTGGGACAACGCATGATTCGATCATTCCCATAATCAGCCGCATAGACAGTGCCCAATTGATCGACAACGACTCCTTCAGGATATGACAATTGTGTAAGACCATTTCCTAGTCCTTGATCACCAGCCACGACAATGCCTTGTTTTGCACCTTCCACCCATTTCATCACACGATGATTTCCCCATTCAGACACGTAAACTGAATGATCTAGATCGACGAATACGTTTTGTGGGTAAGAGAGTTGATCGAGACGATTTCCACTTCCATTGTCACCTGCAACCACTGTTCCTTGAGATTCTCCTCTTCGATATCGTCTCACTTCATGTTTTCCAACGTCAGTGACATAGAGGGATCCATTCTCGTTCATTGTTAAACCCACACAAGCGATGTTGGAGATGATCGTTTCTCCACTTGTCC